CGCGTGGCAATTCACTCAGTAGCCCTCCACATCTTGAATCCTTCATTTTGCACACATCCTTCACTTTAGCCGCGCTCGCACAGCCGGTTTTGTCCCCCTTCTGATACAAATCTGTCTTTTTAGGAGCTCTAAAAAATAATAATACAAACGATTGGCGGCACTCCTTTGTATATGTAGGTTGTTTACTTTTTGTTGTAGACACATGCAAACACAGCCTCGCCCACACCACCAAAACTATCACCGCACTGCTCATAATTGCAGCCTAATTCGTAGATTTCATGATGAGCCATCTGGAATTAATCGATATCGTGTCAATCCAGAATAAGGAATGTTCAGGAATGTGGGTAACGTACATTGGCAAAGGTGTATAAACGGTCGGACTCGTAGCGCGTATCTTTCATGAAGTAATACTGGGCTGGCAAGGTCCACCGATACATCGCATCATGAATGACAGCATTTTTACCTTCTTTGGAAATGTACTCTCCATCGTTGGTACTGAAATGGACTAGAACATTTGAGCGATCTATGCAATTGTGACAACACGACTGTTCTGCTTACTAGTGAACATTCTGCCCATTATCCAGCGATTCGCTCACGGAATGAGAACAGTTTTTGGTCAACTTCAGCGCTTTTTCTTCGAGGGCACAGCTCCATCTCTGAAGCAATCTGGAGGCATAGAAAAAAGGGAGTTTCCATTATAAATATATTGGCTTTGATTATGGTGTCAAGCCACCTTTGCCACTATGATCTGTTGGATGACAGATCGATATCTAGTTGACGCTCTAGATTTCAAAACTCTAAAACTTGGAAGTGTATTATGGGAAAGATTTGTGAACTTCCTTTTAAGTTGAGTGAAAAACCGTTCGAAAGCGCGAATCTTTTTCTATAAGAAGCCGTTCAACTGGGTACGTTTGTTTGGAATGCTGGACCTCTGGAGGCGATGAACTGAGGGAAGGTCGTTTTAGCATCATGTTGGGTTTTGATGTATTTCTCTTCAAGGAAGCTATCGAGATCGTCAGAAATTTGACAGTAGATAGATCAAAGGTCTACTAAGTAAGATGTTCGCAGAACCACTCTGAAGTTCAGCTGGTACAACTTGTGAAGGGTTGGCCGTGCGATGTGCGTTCAAGACACCTTTCAGGGATGTGTGCGTTCCTTTATAATGAGGAATGCTGGACCCATGCCTAGAGTTTTTGATGATTTTTGACTTAATATAAAGATTGATTCTCCACTGTAACAGTTCCACCTGATACTGAAGAACATGGCCAGCCGCTGACCCCATGAAAGCTGCCACAACCCTCCTCCAGCACAGTTTAAATTCTGCAAAGTTTGTAGAGCTTCATCGCCGTCGATCTATTCAGCAAACCTTCGTAGACTATAGAGAAGAATCTGCTCTTTATTGTACGTCGCAAATCTGTAGAGAAACGAGTCGCTTTTATCACATAAAACAAGCGACAATTTGATGGACGACCCTTCAAATTGGTGATTTGTCGCGGCACGCCCCTATCAAATTTTTTGGACTTTCCAGCTTCTTCCGTATAGCTTGGCTGTACAAACCATATACGCCCAGGTTGGGCAGAACCTCCTCTATGGTCTTACGCACGAGTGCTTCAATCAGAACTTTTGGCTAATCGGAGACACCGTCCGATATCCGACCACTACTCTCATCATATTCAAGGGCTCTCGCTCGTTCACAAAAATTTGTTAGACTACTGCTTCCAGGCCATCTATTTCAAATCTGGTCCGGAGACATCGGTTGATATTTCAAAGTTCCGGCCGCTCAGTCTATTTACGCTAAGAAATAAAAGAAACGTCATGTCAACTCTGCTCATCGAATATACCGCATTCGAAACTTTGAAAAAGCTTCAAGAAAATATTTTAGGATAAAGTTGTGCTGAGCATTGGATAGAGCTGGAAAAGTTCTTCAAAATGACATCAACATCAATTGCAGCTTTCCTAGATTTCAAGGGAAATAAAGCATCCAAAAGTGGAATGTCAGAAAACGACAGAACTTTCTGAAACACCTAATACTTAGAAATTTCATCGTAATAACTTGCTTAGCCACCGTCAAACAGCCTTTAAAAATTAATGTTCTTCAACATCCGGCTCCCTTCATCGTAGCTGCAACAAACATTTCTATGGCAAATGCGGCATCTCTGACTTCCTTATTTGTGGAGGTCGGATTCTATTGAGCTCTTGGCAATATCATTGATACACTACAATTCAAAGAAAGAATGCAGTAAATATATCAAAATAAGGCAGAATGATGGACCGCTCAGTTCGTGGGGTAACGCGGGACATCAACTCTCTGTGCCTATCCAAGTCCGAAATCTCAATGTCTGCTTCTTACATTGCTCAAAGTGAGCATAACTTCGTATAGCATACATTATACGAAGTTATACGATGCCTCATCGAATAGAATATTAATCAAATCTATATAAAGGAAAACGTCGTACGGAATCTTATAGGACGAAAGAGAAGGAGGGGAGACGAAGGGATCCAGCCGTGAATGTGGAAGTTAAAAGCATTCTGAAAAGCAATGACTACGTTAAAGGGAATCTCAAAACATGGCTCCCGCACAGATCGCCGGACGGAGTAAATCTAATAGTGTCAACGACAAGATTCCTCAAGTAAACCGCGTGGTGGAAAACTTCCAACTTCCGGTTTGACATGTCTTTCGTTCAAATCTTATCTCCAATCAATCTTATCCAATGCAACAGTTCCACATGCTGAGCTAGGCCAGCCGCTGACCTGGTGGGAGTTACCATAACCTAGAAATTGGAGAATGACAATCAGATTGGTTATTTATCGCCCTTATCAAAATTTTTGAACATTCCACTTACTTCCGTCTGACGGGAACCAGAAACTAAGTGTGTCCAGTTAGAGAGAAACGTTCTCAGTAGTACTGGGCGCTCATGTCTTTGGGGGGGGGACATCCCAGTGAGTAAGCCAGTTACTGTGCTTGGGACTGAGCCTTAGGCAGGGAAGGGATTCTGTGGGAGATGCAAGCAATATGTGTGCTCCCTGGCGTTTCTCCCTCTCCTGGGCTTAGTCCCAGTGTCACCTGCCATCGGCCTTGTTGTCGATGTCCCCCCCCCAAGGACATGAGCGCCTAGTACTGCATGCAAGTGGCTCAGTCACAACTTTCGGGTAACCTTCCAATGTAGCGCCCAATATCCTACCACGACGCTCATTATCTTCATTGCTCTCGCTCTCCTTACAAGAAGGTTTTGAGCAAATGCTTTAGAACCTGTATATTACGAACCTGAGCCAAGCTTTAAAAGTTTTTGACAAATGTCCTAGAACAGAGATACGAGATAGAGCAGGGAAAGGATCTTCGTAATGGTATTTGTAACCGTGGCAGCTTGCTTGGAGTTGAAATAAAATGAAGAGAAACGATGCTAAGTGACAGAAGTGGAATCGCTAGATACTAGTAGTATAACATTCACCCTTGCCGCTCCTAATCTGGCTGCCCCATTTCATTCCGAGAGTGTAGCTAGAGAGTGAGGCCCTCTCACGTAGTCCTCACCCTCATCTCACCACATTTGCAGCATTAGGTAAGGCTCCCGGAATCAAACGCTCCTTAATCAAATTTTTCTTAAGTTCGTCAGTAGTTGAAGCGTTCTTGTTTTTCAACGTATCGTGATCGCTTCATCTAGATCCATTGTTTATGTACGATTGGTATGTAGCTATAGATCTGAGGAAGGGCTCGAGGCCTGAAACTTCGTCACATAAACAAATTTTCAAGATTTTAACATCATTACCAAAGGAGGAACGTATAAAATGAAGCATCCAAAAGTAAAGTGGCAAAAAGAGAGAATTATTTTTAAAAAACCCAATAACCATAACAAAGCGCATGCACAAAGCATATGTAGTTGTCATGTGCAGAATTTTCGAATTGCCCTGTATCAGCTCAGCTTCTACGGCATCGCTTTTTTGTTCATTTTCAGTCACTGCTTACGAGCGCAAAAAAACAAGACGCTCAAAAAAGCTTTTTGCATTCACCGAGTTCTTGTAGAAGCTTGAGTTATTCAAATCCCATTGTATGCACCTGCTGACACGCTTTTCGACCTTTCAAAAAGTAGTGTGCTCTTCTTAATCATACAATAACCACGCAGCCAGTCAAAAATCCGTGCCAAGAAATGCCAGTAAAGTACAACGCCGAAAAGATCGCAAACGAACATGAATGGCTGCTTCTGAATGTTGACATGCACGGAAAGATGCAAAAGGGGAAAAATGGCACGGATTCTCATTGTTTGGAGGTTGGCCACGTTTTGCAGAATTTGCATTGAAAATTTTAAGAGCTTTTTATCTTCCCACCACAAAGCGTCTTCTAATTTCAAAAGTTCAGATCGATGCAGCAGTGGGGCTGGCACGTGCCCTTGAAGAGCTAAAGAATCATCAAACAAAAACTGCTAGAAATAATAAATTTCAAACTCAAATCTGATGTTCTTGACAGCATCGACCCGCATATTTATATGGGGTTCAGTGCTCACTGTTGAAAAGTGTTGTCTGGTACTCTAACACTGGCAATAACACTGCGAGGAATAAGCTATATGTGTAGTAGCCTTAAACGGTTGGCTCGAAGTTGGAAGTGGTGCAACGGGTTAGAGTGGGGGTTATGATTTGACCTTTAGGCATTTGAGCATGTTGTTGCATCAGCGCTTTTCCTTCCCTGACTGGTTCGGTATCAACCACAGGGATAACCCTTCTATAGGACTACAAACAGTTTATATGGCGTCGACAACACCACCCACCTAGATGCTTTCATTTTCTATTATGACCACGCAAAGTCTTTTTTATAGCATTCAGGGAGTAGCCAATAATCTTTAGACTAACCATTTTGTACAGACTTTTCGCAGGTGGAAGGTCTTTGCCTTCATAGCCAGGTGATGTTCCTTGAACAAGTGCATAGCGGAGTCCGTTGTGAAAATGCAAGACTTTTGTACGAACGTCATCGTCCATAAAGCTACCATGATTTTGGCAGTACTCTGTAACACAGAAAGAAAGTCGCTGCCATGACTGTAGACAGGGGTATGTCACCTTGAAAGCTTGTTCCCAATTTACTCTATGGAGGTTAGCTAAAGAGGAAAGAAAAGCTCTAATTCTTTAGCAGACAAGGAACTAAGATTTAAGGCAAGATCTGTGAATAGTAGTACTAGTGGGCTAAATCATACGTACTCTCCACTTTAAACGCCTATACTAAAATTTTGTAACCTTCCTTACAACATAATGCGCTCATCAATGGTTCCCACAGATTTGTTTCTCAACTGGTGAGGGGATTTAGTCTGGGCGCGCCCACCTCGACGCGCCTATCGACAGTATTTTGGACCAAGTCTCATGACGGCTGCGACGATACCCCGCCAAACAAGTATTAGCTGTTTCATTTTTCCTCCTTTATCCAAATAGAAAAAAAGGACATACGTGTCACTCCAATGCAGATATCGTAAAGGCTCAACAAGATGACGAAGAACTGAAAAGTCTGTCGTTAACTATGAATTAACACATTGACAACAATGCGAGTTTTGGTGTTTTCACCAAGTGGGACCAACGCAATTTTGCGACCGCATTTATCGCGGTGACCTTTTTGAAGGTTAAGCGCTTAACTTCAGCGATCCCAAAGATTTCTCCAGCTTTCCTTTCCACTTTCAGGCCGTCCCGCAGTTCAGTCATCATTACGAAGCGCTCTTATCACCAGTTTAATCCCGGGGCTTGCCTTCAACTATTCCATGGATCACAACGTATAGTTCTAAAAAATCTGATCTATAAAATAGAAACAAAAGCTTCGCGAGAAGTCGTGCTTCTGAGAATCGGTGCGGGAGACATATCTCGCGCACGGTCCGACGTGGCCCGCAGAGTGTAAGATATGTTATATCCCTGCTATTACGTCAATATGTCAAAAGTGTTCTAATTATACTTACCGTAAGCATATGAGATAGAGTTAGGAGAGAAAGGTAAGTTATTGCCTTTTGCGTTGAGGTGGGTTTTGTATGTAGATGACGAGGTTGTTTTGCATCTTGGATGAGCAAGATTAACAAGTACTGTATAATGTTACGTATCCTTCCGCCATTACACCGATCCATCTCCGTTCCGAGCCACAGTCATGTTTAACATCGGTTGTTTGCTAGCTTCAAAAGCTCAAACTGCAAAGATTGTTTACCCTCGGGGTCCTCTTTCCATGCCTGAACTTAATGAGATGCATTGAAGCATTATTTCTGAGTTACGTTGTGTATGTATCTAACGAGAAAATAAACTGCTTTGTGTACTCGATGTTCACTTGAATCAATGTTGTTTTCGTCAATTAAATGCGCTTAAATGTTCCCTCTCGGTATTCCTACACCTATTTTCTCAGTACACTTTATATGAGATTTTGCATGCCAACCGCTTTTTTGATGCCTTTCTCTTTATACGAAGTTATACGATTTCTTTTCCATGGTAGTCATTTGTAAATATGTTAAACTTGTATAGGACCCGGACATATATCCCTACTATATATAATGCGCTAAGTCTGTCTGTCTGTCTGTCTGTCTGTCTGTCTGTCTGTCTGTTGTCTGTCTGTCCATGGTCTGTCTGTCCTGTGTGGTTGTCTGGGTCTGTACGTGTACGTTCCCGTATTATGCGGCCAAACTACTGGGTCAAGGTCTGTTTGGGATGGTGTTATATGTCGAGAAGTAAAAAAATATTACCTAGCGGAAGCCGCCTTTGGGCGTGGAGGTGTCAATGAGTGGTATGGGGACATGATTTCCATAATTCAGGTAAGAAGCGTTCGAGACCGGAACAAATGTGAGGTTAGGGTGTGGGTAGGTAAGCCCGATGGAAACTGAGAGCCAGCTCAGGTGGGGGGTTGCTAGAAAATGGGAATGTGGAAAAATTCATATCGGTTAAGAAGAGCTAGAGAAGAAAACGAAATTAGGAGAAGGGAGCCAGATGCATAAGGGTGTTTACAGGCGATGGATTTGAAGGGGAGGCCGCAAATGGCGGAGTTGTCGTAAGGACCGGGTTTTTTTTACAGGGGTTATAAATTCGGATCAGAGTGATTAAGAGGACCGGAAACAGCCGGATAGGAGGTAGGAAGGAGTGAGGGGAAAGTAATGTCAGGATGGGGTGGATTAATAAGTGAGACGGAGTTGGCAATTAGGTTATACTCGGTTCTAGGAATCCGGAGTTCGGAAAAAGGTTATGAGGTCGAGAGGGGAGAGGGGTCACACCCAAAGTGGGGCGGGTGTTTAGGACAGGGTAGATAGCGCGATTTCGTCCTCAGGACTTCATATTTTGTCGAGGAGACTGTATAGACGAGAAAATGAGATGTATAGGAATGAGGAGGAGTAGAGGCTTGAAGTGAGTGTGGGTGGTACCGAAGTGGGGTGTTTGTTTATAACTCGGTTTTAGAGTAAGGCGGGAAAAGTGGGATAAGGGTTGCCGGAGGAAAAGGGTGAATTGAATGTTTGGTGAGCTAAGTGTGACACCCGAGTGGGCGGTTTGCCGAAGAAATTCATGACTCATAACGTCTTCTACAAGACCTCATAATTCGGCTCCGAGATGACTTAGAGACCTGAAAAAATATACTAGAGGTGAGAGGAGGAGTAGAGGTTGAATGTGAACGCTGGGCGTGGCACACCCCGAAGTGGGCGGAGTTTGCCACCACTCTCATAACTCGGTTCCTAGAAGCCCCAGCGACCGGGAAAAAAGTGGATAAGGGTTGCCGGAGGGAAAGGGGTTAAATGCTAATGGTGGGCTAAGCTTGCACAAAAGTGGGCGGAGTTATGCACGAAACATTATTACTCGGTTCCAAGAAGTCTTGGACACCAGGAAAAAAGTATAGAGGTCAGCGAAGGAAATGAAGTCTCAGTGGGCAGGACATGCGCAAAAGTGGGCGGGGTTACCCATGAATTTCGAAAGAGGAGTGTCTCCAAAGCAGCCGTACCTTGGAATCTCACTCAGCAGCTCTGCAGTAATAGAGAGAGAACATTGCTTACAGACACAATTTTTCACCACCTTCCGAAAAAAACCCTGTCTTGGAAGAAAGACCCTCTCCGAAACCGCCTTTCGTTGGAATCTTACTCAGCAGTTCTGCAGTAAATGAGAGGCAACATTGCCCACAGACAGAATTTCTCAACTAGAAAACCTTCTCAAAAATTGAAAAATATACCATGCCCCGAAAAAAACCCTCTCCAAAACCGCCGTCGCTTGGAATTGTTGTTTTCGTTCGCACCTAGAGATTGGGTACTGTCTTTTGATCGATTCTGTCTGAAACACGTAGCTCAATGCGGTGTAGGAAATAGAAAATATAGTTTGACCTAATAGTCGGTGTAAATGGGATGTACCGAACAGAAAACTAAAATCTAGAAAAGAATAGTGATCATCCTGTTTGAACCCCCGTGTGATGCACGCGAATGCGTGCGCAGCCAAACTGGTACTAATATATAAACCAGAGTTTGTTTGTCTGTCCGCTCCCCTAAATTCGCAAGTGTCCCCCACATTTAAATTTAAGTAAATTTTGCTTCGAAAATCACCTAAGGAGGGCGGGTTAAGTTTGTAATAGGTAGAGCGTGAGCCTGCGGGGCAGGAGGGTCAAGTGCGAGGTTCGCAGGATTCTGTCATTTAGTTCTCCCCCCAACCATTCCCTCTATCATGAATGTTCCTATAGTATTTCATTCTGACACTACTAGACAGAGACATTTGTAAGCCTGTTGTAAACCTGTTCCTAAAAGAAGTAATTGGAAAAAAGGCGTAAAGGGTGTTGAGGGGGGGGGGTGGTAATATGGGCGACGGACTTTTGGTGCGTCCGGGATGGCACGCGGCATCGCGCGGCGGCTGCGCAACGATCCGGATGCAAATCTCGCGGGCGTCTGCAGTGGAATTTACCACGTCAAAATGTGAAACGGATAAATTTCGCAAGGTTCTGCGACTCAATTACATTCCAACGTGCGAAGTTTCAGCGGTGATGGAAACTTTAGTAAGAAGGGATGAGAAGGAGCTGACATAAAGCTGTGACAGCGATCAGGGCGTCATGTCGTTGGGAGAGGGGGCAGTGAGTGAGCCAATTACTGTGCTTGGAACTGAGCCTCAGGGGAAGGGGATTCTGGAGCAAATTGTGTTCTTCTTGGCGTTCCTCCCCCTCCTGGGCTTACCAGAAAGCTGTTTCAGGACACGGAGCCCTTTTGGAAAACGGTTTTTCGCATGATAAAGGGTCGCATGCATGGAGTACAAAACTAGGCACCATTTTTCTGAGCGGCCCGCTGAATGTC